GGATATGTCTACACTAGCTCATTAATTCGAGCTAGGTAGGCAAATGAGGCGACCAGAGTTGCAAATGAAGGCCGGGATTTAAATATCCTGGGCTTTATTTGCATGTTCCCATCTGGTCGCCATTTTGAAATTTCACTAGCCCGAACTCACTGCCGCGTGGCTACACACGGCACTGAAATGTTAATTCGAACTAAGGACTTAGTTCGAATTAACGTGTCACTGCTGCGTGTAGCCGGGCGGCAGTGAGTTCGGGCTAGTGAAATTTCAAAATGGCGACCAGATGGGAACATGCAAATAAAGCCCAGGATATTTAAATCCGGGGCTTCATTTGCAACTCTGGTCACCTCATTTGTCTATCTAGCTTGAATTAACGAACTAGTGTAGACATACCCTCATATATCTCCATGAGATTGGAGGACAGAGCAAAGAGGCGATGAAATAAAACATAGGAAGGTTGGTAAATGAGTGTGCCAAAAAGCTGCTCTTCCTTCCACCCCATTACTTCTGATGAGATTAAATTAAGCTTTCTGCTTTTATGATCCCTTCTACTTGGAGGGCTTAAATGGGTACTTAAATGGTGCACAGGCCTCTGCACACAAGTGAATTTCACTCTCATTGAATATAAATATGTAGCTCAAATAGGTTTTTTTATTTATATTGTTATGAGGTGGATAAAACCTTGTGAATTGAATTAAAACTCCCACCTAAGACAAATAGGGGGTGCAGACTCTGGGAAGGAGTTTGGGGGTGGAAAGAGGATGAGAGTGGAGGTCCAAGAAGAAATATGGGAGTAGGAAGGAGTGGCAGAGGAGTGAGTTTGGGGGGTGAGCGCTTACGTGGGGCATCTCCCTCTGCCAGTGACTCCTAGGTGGGGGGCATGGTGAATAAAAATAGATTATTTTAAAAAAATAAAAAAACAATTAAATTAAAAAGATTTTTTAATTTAAATCAGATTTTTATTTCTCATTTAAAAATAACAGTTGCAATTAAATCTCATCACAAACATAAAACACCTACACTTACAGTCTCATAAAAATAATTAATTGGTCTAATCTGTATAATTGCTCTTATCTGCACAGCCTGACTACTAGCTCTTGCTTCTTGAAAATTCTGGGCTTTCAATTTCTGTTTCTCAGCAGACTAAGAAGTAACATGTGCAAAGAAAAACACATGCTGGGCAGGATTGTTATTGTTCTCTGCTTATGTGGTGGTGGACCTTGGCCAAGCTTGGCAGAGCAGTTAGTACAGACATTGTTTTAAAGTAGGGGTGGGAAACCTTTTTTGGGTTGGGGGCCACTGACACTCAGTAAAATCAGTTGGGGCAGGGGCTGCTGGGAGATGGGGGGGGAGCACTGGAGGACCAACATGGGCTCCCCGAGGCTGGGAGAGGCCCTAAACCTAGGGGGCCAAATACAGGCAACCCAGAGGCTGCACCTGGCCCCCTCCCCTATATAAAAACTTTCTCCCATGCTTTTTCCACAGGAAAACTGTCATGGCTTTTGGACATAAGAGAGCCCCTCTATGGGAATATTTGAAGAAAAAGTTTAGCTTAGCTAATCCTAATGGCTTGTTTAATTAGTTAACTAGCTTTTGAATCTATCACTCAGATGTACAATACAGAAAGCTGCAGTAAAAGAAATCTAGAGTTGCCGGTTGTCACTGAGTCTCATTTT